AGCCATTAGGCTCAAAATACAAATGTGCAATGTCACATTTATGGATATTGTGGATCATATTCAACCTATTTTTGAACACGACGGGTATATTTCAAATTTCGTTGAAGTATCCCTTTAAGGGTGTAAGGTTTACATTATTTTTATAAGGTCTATCGCTACACTTATTAGGGTGTTCGTTATGGGACACCCCACTTATATGTATAAAGGTGTGAAAATGTTTAATGGTATATATACCTCTAACTGAAGAAAATCTCCTTCATGTGATTACATCGCGTGCCGATAAAACGATCTACCGATGACACGTCGTTCGGTGAACCCATTTGACCGCCAATGAGTGAGACTGCCAGTAGAACTACGGCGAAGTAATTCTGCCGGCTGCCGGGAGACACGACCCTACCCAAGAATTACCCCGGTTCTTGTTTGTTTTCGAACATTCCGAATTGTATATTACCTTAGTCGTACCTCTTCGGATATTACAGAAAAAGACGATGGCAGCCGCAAAAACTCTGACAGTCCGGCTCACAGTCATGTCGGAGACTGACAGGTGCTCGTCAGTTGCCACCATGCCTTGAAAGCTACCGGTTCCGAAGAACCGGAGCGCGCAGAGGACTTGTTGTTCCACGGTCATTGTAGACACGATTGTCCGCCGCCTTGAAGTCCGGGCGCCGAACAAAGCTCGTTGGCCTTCGATACGGCGCCCTGGTTATCGAAGGCCTCAACGGCCTTCGATAACCGGTACTGTCGCCGAAAGCCGTCGTCGGGGAGTTGAAAGGCGTCCAGGTGGTCTCGGTAGCGACGCCGACGCTGGCGGACGATAAGCTCTGCCGCAGCGTACGGCACCGTCATGTTGACAAAGTTTAACTTCGCCTCGATGCGAAGCGAGGATTTCGGGCTCAAACCATGGCTCTCGCAAAGTTCTGAGGCCAGATTCTCAAAGCGAACTTACGACGAAAAAAATGCGTACGACAAATTTGAGAGAAAATCCGTATTCTCGAAACGAAATTGTCGTAACTTTTGCGCAGGTTACGACAAAATCCTACGACAGCTCCGAAGCTGTCTTACGCACTTTCTACGATCAAATTAACATGGCCGACAACGTCGCTCAGTTGCTCGGTCGCGACGACCCAATGGACATTTATTTTTCTACCTGCTCTTCTTGCGCGCCCCGACTTCAAGCAGCAAGAAAAAAATGAAGAAGTACTTGAAACCGACCACGACGAACATGAACGCTGGATCCACAGACACCCGGAAAAGGCAACAAAGGCGACGATCCCCCCGACCAAGCGAGCTCGGCAGAATATATAGGCCTAGCAGGCACTCCGACCCGTTCCGGCGCAGCATTGCTCAGACGGTCCTTGGCCAAGACCGTCTGCCCACGACCGGCTGGCTTGCTGAATGGAATATGCCCGCGCGACCCTTGTGGACCCTCCTCGTATGAATAGTTATATAGCTGAACTAAATTTCAGAGGTCAACCGATTCCCCTTATCATCTCGATCACCTTGTTTTCCGAGGCAGCGGTGACGAACGCTGTCGTCGAAAAGGGACTCCTCGATTCTATCTCCTTGTTTTGTGTGATTTAGAGCTCAAATAAACGCCGTATGGATTACCTTCGGAACACGGTATGTACACTTTGTTATTAGTATGCCATTTTTAACTGTCGAGCTGTATCAGTTTGTGGGAGCTACGCGATGCCGGTCCAACCTTTCTTTGCCGAGTGTCACGTCAGTATCGAGTTGCAATCGTAGAAGATCGGTCCCGAAGCGCTTACCAAAACGCAGTCTGAATCCAGCACTTCGATCAAACGCACGCGTCCGCTCCGAGTGTGAACAGGTATTTGCGCGACACTTGCTGACACTCTCGTAGTTCAAACGTATCTTTTTTAACGTCGGCTCACTCCTGCATTTCCGAGGCCGCGAGAAACGCCGCGGCGGTTTGTTTCCTTCTACGTCGCTTTGCAAACGACTGGCACGGGGCTTTTACCAACGGTGACAGTTGTGTTGACTTCGTAGCGATCGAGTTTGTAGCAGTCAACGAAGCGTTTAAATCGTGTTAGCGTCAATATACCACTGCACGGACACGAACCCCAGACAAGCGGTGGTGGAAAGGTCGCCCGTGTTTATGAGAATCAGCTTGAACACTACACATTTACACACAGACAGGACAGGACATACACAGAGCTGTCTGTCAACGAGTCGTTAGCCTGTGTTTGTTATTAAAAATCCACGTGCTCCGAACTATGCCTAGCTCTCTAATTGGTTGTTCGTTCTGCCGAAGACGCCGTTGGCATAGCAACAGCACCGGAAGTCATCGTTTCTCCGTAAGAAGTCGTAACTTTCCTCCTCTCACTTAAGAACGCGTTTGTGAATACCGTTTTCGCCTCATCTTACGATGATCGTAACTTTACGAACTTCTTAGCTAAGTTGTCGTAGGTAAGAGGTTTTTTATGAATCTGGCCTCTGAAACGTCACGTTAACGTAAGCGACAACTTCGACAAACCAGGTTTCTAATCACCTTTTTTTTACCCAAACTTTGGAGGGATTTGGAGCGTCAATAAGTCGCCTGTGGACAATCTGCAAAGCATTAATTTTAGCTTGGCGTAGGGATGTAGGGACAAACGGGCGCTACGTCATCGGCGAAGCCGATCAATCAGCGGGCTCCTCGCGCCCCTCACGCGCTGCACGGCCGCCTCGATGAACTTTGCTACATTCTACCGCTCTGAAAGAAATGAGCGTTCTAATGTTTGACACCTCGCCCGGCGCGACGTCAGCGTCGCGAGAGTCCAATTAGCGCGTTCCGCAAACTTCGGGCACAAAGTTGTGCTCGACGAGTTTAGCGACCCAGGAATATATCAGAGTGTATAGGAACTATTGCATATTCACACGGGGGCAGAAGTGTTATCAGAACAGTAGACCTGAAGATGACAATATTGCACCGCGCGTCGCCGATCAGGCGCGTGCGTGGCCGAATGGTTACCGCGCCTGGCCTTCACGGGGTGGCTCGATTCCTGGCAGCGGCCGCTTCTTTTATTTATTCTTTCAATTTAGCCTTCTCGTGAGTTGGAGGACTTTGTCGTCTGATCGAGGTGCGAATGTTTTATGCGCCGAATGTTCTACGCCGAATGTTCCAGAAACCCAGGTGGGTACAAAAGATTCTTCGCGTGGCGGTCCGAGGCTATAGTAGACTCACCCCAGCGCTCGATCCTGGTGTTCAGCCGGCATCGACGCGTGCGAAGCTAACCTTCTGTTATTTTTGTTTTGTGCACAAGTTAGCCCAATTAGACGTTAGTTTTTCCAGTTATCAGCCTAAGCCTTATCATTGGTCATTCGTGACAATATCCAATAGTTATGACATTAGACTCTAAAGCCGGGGTCACACTGCTTAAGGCCCGTTCACACTCTTGCGACCTCTTAGAACTGGGTGCCTTGAAACCTCTTACAACGAGAGGACACACTGGCGCCATCTATTGGGTAGCAGTGTAATCTTGGCGGTCCGGCATATTTTGTATTTCTCTCGCGCATTCTCCTTTCTTTTTTGGCTCGAAAAACTATTGTCAACGTTATAAACCAGCCTTTCTTATAGGCTCGTTTACTTTTACCTTTTACTTTCTCCCGCAAAATCTTCACTGTTGTAAAATGCAGTTCCGGGGTCACCCCATATAGATGGCGCCAGAATGCCACTGTGTTCCCTCGTCCTAAAAAATATTAAGAGGCTTCAAAAGGCCTCGTCTCTCTCGGTCGTGCTCGGTTGCAAGACTGTGAGCGGGCCTTTATACCATCATACAAAAGACAGTCTGCAAACAATTTCGAACGCGAGTCACCGCGAGATGCGTGCTTGGAATGCCGCATGGCAGTGCGTTCAAGGAGAAAACTTGGCACGCGGCGTTCGAACCAGGGATATTGCGGTGACTTGTGGTCGCACAATGTCTTTTGCATGATGTTTGAGCAGTGTGATCCCGGCTTAAGCGCGATATACAAGAGAGCGCAAAGAAATTTAACGCAGTTATGCAGACACGAAACAGGGGGCTATGAATAGTAATGCTCGTGCACGACGAAGAATAGGTATTACGGCCAGAAAACCCGCTTTTCAACGCAGTTTTTCCCGTTCTTTCTGATATCTTCGTTCGCGCTTTTGGTGCGCGTCTCAACGCCGTGTTTGTGCGCTCGCTTATTTCTGCCTTGGCAGCAGCGGGCCGCGGGCCGGGCGTCGCTGTAAAGACCACGGTCGTCTGCGGGCCGGCCAGAAGGACTAGGCGGGTCGGATCTGGTCCGCGCGCCGGTATTTTGATACCCCTGCAGCATCAAAGCAACGGACAACAAAAACTGCACACAAACAAATCACATCCATTTTTTTTTTTCGAGCTTCGTTACATTTGGAGCGTTCGTGCGAAACATTGTTAGGATCGTCACATAACCGTTTTTACGATGTCGTCAGGCAATTTTTGTTTTCTATGTGGCGCTACGAGCGCAGAAACTGAAGGAGAGGAGGAGACGAGAGGGGACGTCAGTACGCCGAGCTCTAGTCGGAATGATTCGTGGGTAGACGTAAAACTAGCTGTCTTTGTCTGCACTGCACTCGTCGGACGCGTTCGAAGACGAAAGCCAAACGCCGGACGCTGGCGTTCCGCGTTGTAACGTGTCCGGCGAGTGCAGTGGAGACAGGGGCCGCTATAGCTTTATGTCTACCCTCTAATCCTTCCAACCAGAGCTCGGCGTTCTGACGTCCCCTCTCGTCTCCTTCCCGTCACTTTCTGCCCGCATACTCGGTGATTCAAAAAACAACGGGCGTGGCTTATGACGGTCTCTCCCCTCGTGATTCGTCCTTGGGCGTTCTTTTCGGCCCGCCATCCCGTTGGCTGCGGACCAGTGCTAAGGTGTTCCGGACTCAGCCCGCCCTGTGTTTCTTGAGCTGCGTGTGACGATGCGGGGTCCAAATATTGCTGAAGGCGTGTCCGCACACGCCGTTTCTCACGGGGCGCACGTTTTTCTCTCTGTGCTTTCAGTCGGGCACGTGTTCAAGAAAGTACGACAGACGAAGAAGCGGAGGAAAAGCAGCTACGGATCGCTGTTCTCCTCATTAGGTAAGCTCGTTGCTCCTCCCCCTCCTCGGGGCTTCGGCATGATCTTGCTCCGTCCTATCATTAGCCGTCTTAAGTTTATCACGAGCCCTCCCCCAGACCGGAGGAAGGGCCGCTCAGTTTCTGCCTCCCCATGTGTGGCGGGCGCTGGATTCGAACAGCGCGTAATGAGCTGCGCAGGACCAACTCGTAGCCGGGGAGGAAAAACTACGCCTGTTCAGTACGGCCAGCTGCTTTCAACTTTATATTTCCTTTTTCTCCTGCCGCAAAGCTGTCTATTTCTTTTCCTTTTTTGCTGCGTTTGTTTGCGTGTGCATGCGTATGTGCGCGTCCGCGTGAGTGTGCGTGCGTATGTGCGCGTGCGGGTGCGTGCATGTGCGTGTGCGCTTGCGTGTGCGTGTTTTATAGTTCGCCGATTTCTGGTTAATTCGTTAGAGAACCAAATGGGTCTCGTGAACGGTGCCGACGCACTATAACGTAATTTGAAAGTAATAAAAACTTTTTTTTTATATATATACCGCGGCCAGCGCACTCTAAAGTAGGGGTTTCGCAAGCGAGGGTTGTGGATAGTCGGTGTGTCTTGGTTTTTGCATAGGTCAGCACTTTGGATTCCAGCCATTTAACATCACCTGACGGTCACAACATTTTCTAGAATTCACTCATGCTCATATCACGAAAGTTCCCAAGATCGAAAAGACACCGCTGGTGATATTCTCGCGAATGACAATCTATGAGGCGGTAAATAGCGAAACAAACTAAACGTTTAATGTGCGGATTTGTGCCAAAACAAAAGCAAAATAGAATAACGGAAGGTAACAGGAGAGCGCCGCGGGCGTCGAACCTCGTCGTGAACGCAGTGTCGAGCGCTGGCGAAAGACTGACTCCGTCCGGCGCGACACGGTTTTTTTTGGAGCCTTCCCTGGGAGCCTAGAAAATTCTACCTCGTTCGTTTTGGAACTATACATTCTGAGCATGAACAAGCTACACTGTTCTACGACGTTCTAGAATCTTCTACTAGACAAATAAAGAAAAAATGACAACAGGTGGCCGGATGCGAACCCCGGCCATCTGCGTGGGAGCCAAGCTCGCTGTTTACTTTGCGCAGTAAGTAGGCAGCGCGCTTGGTTAGTGCGCACGCGGTAATATGATGAATTTCACTGGTATTAAAATTCATCGCCGCTCATCCCACAAAGCTCAGCAAGATTCAAAGTTGACAGGAAATTGATTCATTTATCATAGAGGTTATCGGGTTCAAGAAATCACGACCCCTATATCACCGGCGACTTCTAGGATGTACAGTGCTAATCACACTTGTCTATAACGCGCGAGCGAGCGGTTTTCTCCGGGAAGCGCTAGACTGGTGGCATTCGCGGAACTAAGCCAGTCACGTGGCGCAACATGGAACGGCCCGCTCGAGGGGTGTCCTGCCCACTCTATCAGCTTGATAAGCGATAAAAGTAAAGTGCTTCATGATATATATATATATTTTTTTTTTTGATGACGAAATCGTTGATACGCCATCATGCTTTAGTGTGTTTATTGTTCGAGCAATGAATGATGTTTGTAAAAAGCGTGCGAGCAGCCTTCCGCGTTCGCCACCAGCTGATAGAGTGGGCAGGACGACACCCCTCGAGCGGGCCGTTCCATGTTGCGCCACGTGACTAGCTTAGTTTTCGCGAATGCCACCAGTCTAGCGCTCCCCGGAGCAAGCCGCACGCTCGCGCGTTATAGACAAGTATGATTAGCACTGTACGATATCATCGATGCCACTTAAGCCTGACTCCCGAATATCACGAAATATCACGGATATCACTAACTGACAAAGATCACGCCGAGTCACCTCGCTGTTTGTTTTGGTTTTGGGATGGGCCAGTCAAAGCCGAGAGCCGAGCCCAAGCAACGGCTGCCAGACTCAATGGCGCGCCGTATAGCGCCGCTACGACGGGAACGCCGCTCTTTTCTTTCTCTTTATTTGTTTCCTTTCTTTTGTTTTACATTGAAATACCACTTCGTGTATTTTATTTTTCTTTTCAAGCGCTATGTTTGGGGCTTACCGCAAGGCAAGCTTTGGTGTTCTTGTAACTTGTTTGTGCTAACCTTACTCTTGGACGTTTTTTCTCTCTATAATACATTCCTTTCAATATAAAGCGCCATCTAGTGGCAGCTGCACCAGTTATCCTCGTCCGCCATTGCTGCTTGATAAACTTTTTGGAAAGAGTCTATTGCGCAGTAAGAAGACATTCTCAAAAATTGACACTCACACAAGTTTTCTAATGACAAGAAAATAAGGTATTGCCTTCGGGGTTAATAAACACCTTACTCTAAACAGTTCCCTTGAAATCCCGCTGTTAGTTACTGGTCTTGATAATTTGTGTCTCCGTATCAGTGACGCTTATCATTACTATCAGCTTATCAAGACTGAGTGTTGTAAAGATCTCAACGAGACATATTATTCGCCTAAAAAGTTCTTACTGATAAATTGAACGGTATAGGCATGCTCATTTTATCGGAGCTATTAACCGGGAAAGTGTTGTGTAACCTGTGTCTCCCCTTGTTTCAGCCCCTAATAACAGTTTCACGGGACATGTGTCTGTCTTTCTGTGTGTATGCGCGTGTGTGTGCGCGCTGAGTGCGTGTGTGCGCATGCACACGTGAGTGGGTGCACGTGTGCTCGCATGTTAGTGCGCGTGCGCGTGGTGTTTATGATTGCGTGTACGTGTGTACGTGCGTGCGCGTGTGTGTGAACATGCGCGCGCGCGAGTGGAAGCTTGCGAGTGTGTTTGCGCGCGCGCGCATCTGTCTGCTCGTGCATGTGCTCGTACGCTTGTATGCATGTTGATTGCGCTGCGCGTTTCCAGTTTTTGCATCATCCAGTAGTAAAAAGTTAGATTCAGCCTCGCAACTCAAACTTGTCAAACGAAAATGAAGGATGACTGAAATGGTTAGCGTGTAATGTATTAGGCTCCATCGGATAGAAGATGTCCGTCATTTTATTATACCTACACCTGAGAAGCGACAGACCTTGAACAGTAAACTCGGAACACAGATTGTGGTATATAGCTAGAGAAATATGCAGGCATCGTTTAGAAGGCTCGCCGAGTGTACGGGCAGTGAAACATTTGTTTGCGCGAGGATCGCTCATTTGCGTTTTGGTTTGACACGTTCTATTCATTGCAACTGTAGTTGACAACGATATATTTCACCAACGGTTTGTAGTGCTGGCTATAAAAATAAAAATAAAGCAAGCAAGACGACCAGCTGCAAAATAAAAAAGACTCGCGTTTAGATTTGAAAGTTTTTAACGTGCACAGAGGAAATGCCTCACATGACTGCACAATACGGCAGCGTCTCCTCTGGACCGACCGCCGCAGAAATACCGAGAGTGATTAGGACCGAGTAGGGCGGAACTGTGGAGCGTGGGGACCAAGCTGATGATGGTAAAAGGGCCGGGAGTGATGTACAAGCCGGGAGTGTGGCAAGGCTGGGTGTTGTGATGAGCCCGAGGAAGGCGGGAAGGCCAAGGAATGTGGATAGGGTTAGCGCAAGGCCAGGGACCACTTGCGGCCGTCGCGCCGTCCGTTGTCGCTAACATTCGTTGCAAAGGACACCCATAGGTGGCGCACCTTGCTTTTGTCTTTGTCATGCATTGCAAAAAAGAAGAAAAAGCCCACGGCTTGGTTCACAAGGAACGCACCAGGGGCGCAAGGAGCGGACGAACTTGCATGCGGTACACCAAGGCAGGAGTGAAAGCTGTAACTCTATGTGGTCAACGTACGTTTTTATTAAATGGGATTGCATTTATTTGGCTTCACTCAATAATGTATCTACAGTAAAAATTTCGGCCCTACTTTGTAGTGGTACTTTTTCACAAAATAGTCTTACTAAGAATGCGTTTTTGGGTTCGTAAAGTACTCGTTTATATACCGAAACTCAAATCACGTCTTTCAACGAGAACGCCATTGGCTTTCGCTATGGCCACATGATCGCTTACGCCCACCAATGAGGCGGAAGTTCCACCCGCCAGTGAGCCCTACGGCGACGGTGAGAAATGGCCACGAAAGTGAGAGATGCACCAAAACCGCGAAATTCGACAAATCTGGTGAGCGAGTCATCGCCCGCCAAATTTGGCAGGCAATGCTCACGTGAACATCGTGGTGACATGCGTTGACGCTTATGCCGCCACGCTGTGGACGTCAGTTGCATGTCGGTCGCACGCTAGATTGAGCCATGACGGTTTCGTCCCATAGTTGTGCCAGGCGGTTTTGTTCAATCAAAGTGCGAACGTATAAAAAAAATCAGTTGCGCTATCTGCTAACAATATGAGGACTTCATCACATCAAAGAGACCTGCTTCTTCCAGGTGACATTGACAGAATGTTATTTTTGAAACGCTAAAGTAAAGGAAGCACGTTTCAAGAGCAGAAGAACACTTAACTTGATGGCAGAAAATAAAAAAAAAGTGGGACTGAAGCAGTGACACGGAAACATCAAGACAGTACAACGTCTTCTATGGGCCTCCTTTATTAATTAATTAGGTCCCGTCTCCACATGCCAACAGCAATCACGGTCATTTTTTATAACACATAAGGTGATACAATATCGCCGCCTAAAAGACCCAAACATACCATGAACCTTTACCACTCACTCTTGGAAAAGATCGTAGTACATACAAACCATATGTTTGTAAATGCCTGTCACATATGTTACTAGCCTCTTAGTAACTGCAGTTAGTAACGCGAATGTTTGCGACAGTTACTAACCAAGGAGGTTAGTAGCGTGAACTAGCCTTATCCCCAAAACCTACTCGGAACCAACAGATTAGTTTAGAAGCGGATGCTAACTGCCGCGAAAAACTTACCTGCTACTTACCTCAAGAACCTAGGTGGCGCTAGCTATTGCTCAATTCAAAGGCCACAAACATATTTGCATTGCTCGCCCGCCTAGCATTTCCGGGCTGGGCGTCGACTAAACTTTTAACCCGAATAATCGTCACCTTTTACTCGA